TTCAAGCTTTCATCCATATGTCACAATATATACGATTACATATTTTATAATGTATTCAATATATAATACAAAACATAACACAATATATAATATATAATATGTATAACTTGCCCCAAATCTACCTCAGCTTTTGTGATTAAAAGTAAGCGATTTCCTTTAAGAGAAACACTTCTTATGCGTATTTACATGAACTGTGCCCTCATGCAAGCAGTTTTGTCGTCGACTCTGAGTTCACAGAATTTCATTTCAGAGTTTACTTTTAAATAAATTTAAGCAATGGAATCAAAATAAGAACTAAAGTTCATGATAACGTGATGCTGTGATCAGATATATAGCATACTTTATAGTTAGGTACATTTTGCTATAAAGATTTAGATATTTCCGAGTAACGTGAGTGGTTATTTGGAGAACATTCCAGATATGTACGTTGCACGGGACACAATGTACTACCATTCTGCATAGAATATTGCACCCCTCCGCATCTTTGCGAGAAAAATGAAAGATTAACTCCTCAAAGTTTTGGTTTATGTGTAACTTTAAATCTCCAGATTAAGGACGTTTAAGAAGGAATTACCGACGAGAATATATGGTCTAAGAAGAATGAGATAGGGCACGAAATAAGAAATTTACATAATTAATGGACAGAAATACTTTTAATAAGGCTTTTTGTAAAACACGCAGTTTACGTACTTCCATACAGTGACCAGGTTTTACACCCATGCGAAACGCACTTGGACTGAATATTGTAGTGTATTGATTAGTCCTTCACATTCACAATTACTGAGATCGATTCTCTGCCTGATGAGTTTACATTTTGAGCTATGACGTCCCCATTATTCCAAGCACATGACGTAACAGTATCTTAAAATGAGAAAGCAGTCTTTCTTCTCTGTTCATCTGAACTCATCCGTCACTATTATCTTCTCATTTTACGTCATATAACCTCTGCAATTCAGAAAATTTAGGCAGATAAACTTTATGAAATGAAAAATTAGTTCTTGTAATTGATCATACACACCAATCGAAGGTAAAGGTAAAAGTAAAGTTATCCCTGTAAGAGTCCGCGGAGGGCCTTCAGGTTGTGAGACGTTGAGGATCCCAAATTTTATAGAAAATCGGCTCATAGATAGCGAGGTTGTCAGCCTTAGTCTCCGTCCGTTCTTTACCCCCAGAAGATTCCCGGTACTCATTTCTGTTAGAGATTGAGACGAACACAGGGCCATAATGCGCCTGGAAGGATGAGGTAAATTGAGAAAAAAATCTAATGACCTCATCGGGAATCGAACCCACGACCTTCAGGCTTCTAGCATAGTGCCTCAACAAACTACGCTACTGCGTACCACACGCTACCCAAAATAATTTATTTAAAACTCACTCGCAAAGATATTTCGACACATCAGCTGCCTTCTGCAAATTACATTAGATTAAACAAGCCAAACAAGCTGAACTAGATACAGATCCAAATTTAACGAAAATTTCTTACTGTGAAAAAGTCAGATCTGTCGACGAGAGAGTTTTCTGAGACGCCACCGTGCTAAAGAAGTTGAGCTATACTCGTCGACGAGATTAAGGATTCCTATGCTCTTATCTGCCATTCATCAAGGCGCAGGACCCCGGGCGGCTGCAGGGGGCGGATGGATTCATTCAATCAGACTGGGACACTCCTTACTGCCATGGCTTTCATGCTTTAATATGGCAGAGTGCACTGGAACTCACGAGATACAAATCTCCTTAGGTTATGCGGTTAGAATTAATTGATGTTCAATTGTAATATACGAGTATGATACGTACAGAAGACGAAAACCAATATTTTACTATTCTACATATCCTTACCCCATGACACTGTACCAATTTTAAGAACAGTTTCTTCAGGTATGAATCTTCTATATAGTGCAATGTAAAAAGTAAAAAGTAAAGTTGTCCCTGTGCTTAACTAATTAAGCACTACGCCATGAAGGATTACCGGGGAGTGGATGTACACATCCACATTTTCTTGACATCGGCACTTGCTAGAGATGAGTGGGCAGCTTCACGCCCCGGTCGCTTTACCTCCAGGGAAAGAGCTCCGGTATTCATTGTATATTACAAAATAATTAAACAGCCATATATGTATTACATTTATCGGCCTTACTAACAGAACCTTGCAAGAATCTGAATGTGTTCCAATAATAGTACATTATATTGTTGTGTGAATAAATTTGTAGTATATACAGATCAGTTACTTCTAATTTTGTGCTGCTGAAAAGACATATCAGAATCATTTCAGTCTTTAACTAAATGTTGAGATGAGAACGCGTAATTAGGTTCTAAAGTTTTAGAGAATTTCAGCGCGGAAAATTATGGAAGTATATTGCGAAATAGTATCCCACGTAAATAGCTGAAATACGTGTCGGGAAGCCTTGGCATATTTTCTGTGTGAAGCTATGTGCACCTTAAATTAACGTTTGAAGAAAAAGAAAACATTACATATTTAACAATTTCTTCTGTCCTTACGCTCCATAAATTTCTGTAATTTAGTATATTCAACTTACGAAAATGAAAAATTATTTACTATGTTCCATTGATTTTAATCGTCTGGTTACGAATTATAGAAAACGGTAATTTGTTGATTTTTTAAAGAACTCATTATGGTCTATATTCTGTTAACTAATTTCAGTCTTTTTCAACATTTTCTCATCTTAATTTTTAACATAAAACTTTAATGTTCCTTCCCGAAGAATATGCATTTTGCAGCCCATATTTATGTAGAAATCTTAATTACATTATATTTAATTATATTTTCCCCACTTTCTGCTTTATAAACAGAATTTTGGAGCATAGATACATCTTCTTTAAGAATGAGCAGTATGTGTATTGTTTCTTTAGTCAGATATCTTATACATATGGTCCAAGTACCCGATACAAGTCTTTCTCAAAGCCAGTAATGGATCGTACGTACATTTTGTAGGAAGGAATTCTCGAACAGCATTGAAATTGGCCATTTTCATGGAACGAGAAAAGTTCCTCTGGAAACTACAAGTGAAATGTTAAAAGAAAAAGGGAAGTAAAGCCTTCTTCTTGAAGAGATGGCGATCACTATTCAGAACATGGACACTGCTGTTCAGCCTACAAATATCCTTAAAGCATGATGCTTCACATTCCTGAAAGCTGAATCATTTTTAAGTTCTTTGCGGTGACTAACCTAAAGGAGATGATTTGCGAGCCTTGAGGACTTGATACAAAATTTGAGGTTATGTCCTGCTGGTTAAAAGTAAGGAAGCAGGGACGCTGATTCGAATCATGAATGCAAGATAGACACTTTCTCTGATTTTGTGTTGTACTTCGTTAAGTTGCAAAATCCTTGCTAGGATGTGATCCACAAAGTAGGCTGCCATAAAACTCGTTAAGAAATTTAAGAGATCGAGAACGAGGCGCAAGAATAATGGCAAGCTGGATTCTAAGGGGGCCTATCAGAGTGGCCGTGCTGTCTGAGGCATGAACCGTCTTCACCCGCACGAATACTGGGATCGTGTGTTCGAATCCCACTCGAGGCTTGGATGTCTGTGTTTATTCTGCGTTTGTGTTGTTCTGTGTGTAGGTTGAGGCCTTGCGACGGGCTGATCTCCGGGCAAAGGATTCCTACCGACTGTATAGGACTAAGAAACTGAAAAGCGGCCAAGGTCCACAAGGACCGTAGAGCCATAGATAGATAGACAGACAGACAGACAATCAGATAGATAGACAGATAGATAGACGGATAGATATTTAGATAGATAGATAGGTAGATAGATAGGATTGAAAGGAGGACGACATGAGGATTGCAGGTGGATTGAGCTGGCTTAGCATCACGTCCAATGATGGGTTTTGATATCAATGGTTTAGAACTCTCGGGTTCGGCTACGAAAACACAAATTTTGTTACTGTCGTTAATGACTCCAACATAACTAAAAACGAAATATATCTCTTGATTACCTCATAAAATTATGAACTTATTAGAAGACATATTCCTGTTTGTATAAGGGAAATTAACGCAAATTTTGGCGCGTCTTCAAATATTTTATCTACGAAATTTACATCCATGATACGTATGTAATGGCCGTCTTCTAGTGCACTCAATTTCACATGTCACTTCACTACATGTTTCGGCAACATAGTGCCATCCTTAGGTGCTTTATTTGCGCTAAGCTATTGCATTGCTTGCCATCATGTGTCTTTCGTAAAATTATTAAAATGTACATTCTTCATCAACTATAATAAAATTTGTATACACTAAAACTTGTTAAGAGTATTCATCTTATGCGCCTTAATTCAAACTCGCGTATTGTATGGTTCTTTCACTATGGGAGTCGTTTCTCCTACATTTTTTGTGTACTGTGTCTTGTGATGTGTCCTTCCTTTTTGGCTCACAGCTGAGGATGGCACAATGTTGCCGAAACATGTAGTGAAGTGACATGTGAAGTTGAGTGCAGTACAAGACGACAATTACATACATATCATGGATGAAAATGAGTGCAACAGGACGCTAAAATACAACATTACGAAACTTACGCTGATAATGCGAAATATTATGTAACAAACTAGGACTTCCAGTTAGCTAGCGTTCTGGGTACAAGAATTAGAAGATTTTACCATTATTTTTTTATTGCTAGTGGGGTGGGACTAAGTCCCTTGCACTGCGGCCACTTCTGGCCTATTGTACCAGCCCCAGATGATAGGTGAGGGTGATTGTGGATCATTTGGTGGAATGAGGATTGGCAGGGGAAACCGAACTATTCGGAGAAAACCGGCCCCAGCGCCACTTCGTCCACCAAAAATCCCACTTAACCAGACCCGGGATCGAACCCGAGCCTCTGCTGTGGGAAGCCAGCCACTAACTAACTAACAGCTTGAGCTATGGCGGGGCCTACATTTTAACATAGTCCTAGTAGAAAACTTTGCCTCTAGAAAATAACACTTCAAAGTATTTTGGTTAGAAATTGAGTAGATTTTACTTCACAATTGATACAAAAACTAACCTGTGATATTATTATGGACTTTCCACGATGCATATTTAGTTCTGTATAAAGTTAATGGTGTACTGCAAGGCATAGAAGAAATTATTTAGCATTGCCTGCTGTCGTAAAACTACCCAAGTTTAAAATATTAGGAAGACTCTTTTTGTGGAGGAGAATTTTCCAGATTAAGAAGTCCGCACCTGAAACATAAAAAATTTATGGTTTATATTGCATTCAAAAGCAGTCGAAAGTAGAAAAATTAATGCACTAACATTGTGTATATTTAAATATGTCCATTTTATTTTTTCACCGTTTGGATATAAAGTGCAAACTTTTCACTTCCATTTCTCTTTATTTCTGAGAATGTTCACAGCAGTTAAGGAAACTGTATTATGTATTATGTATCTATGAATACAGTAACGTAAGATACATATCCCAACCTGAGATACTTTTTAATCGAAGAAGAATAGAAAGCAATTCTTAGTAATGCCAGCAGTGACCTTGTGTCAACACCTTGGCGAATTATTTATACCTCCAGAAATTCATCTCATCTCTCCCCTACAACACTCCCCACTTTTGAACTTCGCAATGGCACTCATAGTTCTAAGAGAAAAAGTCGCATTTTTCCCTTCTCTTTCTTCATCTTCTATGGGCAAAGTGTAGGCTAGAGGTCGTTGAGAAATGATTTATGGGGTGATGTAAGAGAAAGAAGAATGGCAGAAAGAGTATGACAAGATGAAAAAATGGAAGTGAGAAAGTTTGCGGTTAAAGGAAATGACAAAAAAAAAAGAATAGGAGAGAGTGAGAAAGAGTTAAGAGAGAATTTCTGATGTGGTGTCATACTGTGAGTTATACATTTGGCACACCGGGCTTCTAGACACTTGCCAACATGTACAATTCATAACAAAGGCAAAATTTAGCAAACTGGATGCCATGCTACGTTTTCTGACTGCGACTCATTCATGTATCTTGCCCCTAAAATTATGCAAATAACATTTTCAGAAGAGGGGACTTTGTATTAATTCATGTAGGCAAACCAACAAGCGAAATGATGGTCATGGTAATTCAGTTCAGTTCAGTTCATTTATTTTATTTGCATGTTAATTCAACGGGTAGAGGAGACAATTACAGGGTTCGCGCAATCAAAATAAAAGCGAAGGAAACAGCACAGAGCCGTACGACGAAAACATACACATTGATATTTTACTGCATAGCAGAGTCAGAGCAAACATAAGTTTAACATAATGTTGACTGTAACAAAATACTGTAACTACCTCTTAATCTATCGATACCCAAAGTTGCGATATCTCGAAGTTATTTCTGTGAAACTGAAAAGTATATATAAATTTTTAATTGAAGCCACATCTTAAAAATTTAAATAAAAAATACAATTGTATTTGAAATCGGCTATTACAGAAAATTAAGTACCCTAAATTAATTACCTGTAATTTCACTAACAACTCGTCATCTAAAAAGGTTCGCAGGGTCGTGAATTTGTGTCCTGGTAAGAGGAAATCATGAAGAGAAACGTGGGATGATAACCAGTTCCATAATATTTATACCAAATTTCATGAAAATCCGTCAATTATTGGGAAGGAATTAGGACGAATATGGGGGCACGGGCACTTAACATACTTGGACGTGACGATATACCAGGCTTCCAATTTCTTATAAATTAAGGAAATTTTGGGCTAAATTCGCAGGAGAAGGGCGATAGATAAGGAAAAAGTTACGAAATATAAAAATATATGGACATTTATTTTGTAAAAACATTACATAATAATACATATAACACATTCACTACACACCTCTGTTAAAATCTATGGATACAGCTCATAGAATTTCAATTAAGAAATCAAATAAACAGGTAAATTGATTAAGAACAGGAATAAATTCACCTTACTTGTATTTTTTTCCACTGTCTTTTCTTTGTAGTCTGTTGTTGGTTGATTGGTGAATTATTATTTTTTATAAGAGAGTAGACTGCGACATGGATTCGATCCCAGGTTAGATCGTGTGGGGATTTGTGAATTTGTGGTGGACAAAATGGCATTGGTGAATGTTATCTTCCAGTTCTTCGATCTACCATGCCAATTCTCATTCCACCAACTGCACCATATTCATTAATTATCTTGCCATATATGCTATTTTTTTTCTTGGCACTACAGCCCCAGTGGGCCTAGGCCTATCTCCATGAACTCCGTTCACTTCGGTTTTTCTAGATCTTACACATACGGCAGGACTCCTTGGGCCGGTGATCAGCTGGTCGCAAGGCCTCTACCTGTACACAAACACAGAAAAACGCACACAAACATCCATGCCCTGAGTGGGATTCGAACCCACGATCCCAGCTTCCGAGCGAGTGAGCGAAGACAGTGCATGCCTTAGATCGCTTGGCTACCGTGACCGGCGCCACATATGCTACAGCATCTCAATATTGACAGAGTCACTAGATAACATAAAAGTCTTCATAATCCCAACTATACCTTGACCAACTTAAAATTCCTTCAAGACCATCAGCTTGTAACCTGTATTCTTAACTAATCACTTATTAGACAACTGCCATATAGTATATAGATCGCTGAAATAAATCATCGCGCATTCTAGGCCTCTGCTTTAAACGCAGATGAGCGTTACCTTCACGCTTCAGCCACGGTGAAAGAGTTCCCAACATGCACTGGGTAGAAGGCTTCGTGAGATCAAAGTCGATGTGAATGCAGAAGCAAAGGGTAAGGTTTCTGCCCCTGCCGGGAATAGAATCCAGGTCGCCAATCACTGAGTCACTCTACCGACCCTGCTCTTTCTCTTCCCCAGAGTTTAAAATTTGAGAGATGAATATTTTAGGTTGTGATTAGTAAAAAGTCGAATTGAATTTAACTCCCAACGCAACTTGCAACACTGGCATGGGTGGGGAGCGGGCTTGTTGTATCGATTGTTGAAATATCTCAGGAGGTCAGTAGACGGACAGACGCCCAGAAATGCTCTGTGGCAGGTCATTTTGTCATAATGGTTTCTAGCCAACAAATTCCGGTTACAGACTGGAATGGTATTCCCAGCCTCATTCGTTACTAATTGGAAATTGTAGAGAATATCCTCCGTGGTCCTCTCATCCTACAGAACATCATATTAGCCTCAAAGTTCACAGATTCCGTAGAAACTGACTGATACATATACATTTGCAACTGCGCCACAATAATTGTTTCCGTGTTTATTTAATAAACAGGCCAGTTTACGTTCGAGGGCTCGAGATATTAATTTCCAAATTCTATGATTACAGAAGTCTATGCGTTGTTTTGCATGAACTGAAGATAAAACACTCTTCCACTTCTGTGTACACCTTATTTCCAGAGTCACTGGTTTCGATGACACTTTTCTGTGTTAGGCTACGTAATTTGTGCTATAAGAGATAGATATAAGTACACATTTCTTAAATCATATTTATTTTCATAAATTTAAAATAAATATTATCACTTTTAAGGAAGTATGCGTGACTGACATTTTGAGTTCCAGATTTGATTGATTGAATTGATTAGGCGTCTCTATTAAAATTGCACTTGATTACAACGGTTCATACATTTGACTTCTTCTGGATAACGAATCTCTCGCTGTTGTCTGGATCTTGCACTAGCCTCTAGTCTTCTATTCTTTATCCTACTCTATTCTTCTGTCGTATTCTGTTCCGTTTTGGTCAGTTCTCTCCCTGAGGTAGGTTCTGGTCATACCGCATGGAGAACATTTCCTTGACGGTTTCTCTTTTCGCGTCTCCGATGTAACAGCCCGTTTCTGTATCCGTTGCCTAGTAGGCGACTTCATTATTTCCTCCGTTGGCGTGATTATTGAGACCTTCGCCACTAAGTAATCGAAGTTCTATTGTTAGGCACGTTACAAGGTTTTTTTCTGGCCCCATGTCTGCCCTGTGAAACCCATCACAATAAAATGTTAATTAATCAGAAAGTGAAAATACATTTTTTTGTACTACGACCTTATACAGTTTACTTCACAAGAGAGTGAAGAGAAATGACAAGATACGAAGTTGTTTATGCTTGGGTTATCCTTGTTTCACATTACCGTACAAATTGACATAACGGCAACCTTTATCCAGCATCGGCCACGGTACTGCTTTTGTCGCTGACTGCTCACTGTTCACTGCCGATGCAAATGATTCATCTTTAGAAGTTCTCCGTGAGAATTATAAGAGATATATGAAATGACCTCCAGATTAGTAAGTGATTCGGTGATAAGGAAGATCCAATTGTTTGTGAATATTATTTCCCGTTAATCATCATTAGGATGATAAGGATTAGGCCACGCTTGGTCTGTTCTGTGCTCTGTGGCGCCCTGTGGTTGTTAGTCTGTTTAGGTTTGTATACTAGAATTTTATTCTGAATTCATCTGCCTTCCATTCGCACAACGGGATGCGTATCTCAACTGTTATCTCGATTGTAGAAATTTATTATTTAAATTAAAAATATTCAGTTATTTTCTAATTTTAATATTTCTTCCTAGGTCTTTGCTTCTACTTAATGTCATTTTATCTCAAGTTCCTTTATTTTTGCGTTATAAGTTTGAGAAATTAATAAAATATTGATTTATCAATAATGTCTGAGCATGGCTGTCGCTCGAGGAGTCTCTCTGGCTGAATATATTCCGAGGTCATAGACTGAGGCAAAACAAGCAATTCCAATACGGAATCCTAGCTGGTCCCATATTTCCATCCTTTTGTCTGATATTAGAGACATGTAAAATTGAGCTAGTCTGCTGTTGTGAACAAACGGTATGGGATTTCAAATTACATTCGCAATGTGACACAAATGTAACAAAATATGTGTGAAAAGTATGACGGCTAATATCATCCTGCTAATTAATTTTCTCGTTGACTTAGAGGCAACTAACGCAACTTGACTGATTCTGACGACATCGGAGCCTGTTCATTTCAGCAAGCTGTTTACCGAAATGAGATTATCGAGCCTTAGCGATCCTGGCTGCATACGGACAGGGGACGGCCAGAAAGTGTGTCTAGACCCTGACTAAAATTCCCTTCACTTGGCTTGAGGCACACAATTTGTCATGCTGAATTATGTTCAGGAGGTATCGGGTTCGAATTTGGGACGGGAAGTTTGAAAATTTCGTGGTTTTATTTGGTTAGCCTAGGTGAAACCAAGTAGACTTAAGCAGGTGAAATGTTGTAGAATCGCATTCGGGAAATATCGTGCCTCATCCTCAGACGGGGCGGACTCTCTCGTTGAACTTTCTCACGGTTTCCGTCATACTAGGTTTGAGTGGCACGACAACAAAATTTGAAACCTTTATATAATCATGATTTACCAGCCTATAATACTCATACAAACATGGAATATTATGTCAATGCTATTTTGTCTATAGCATGAAGTGAAGAAGATTGTCACACTCGATGCTGTGTGCTCTCTGGCTTGACAGTTCGTCACTAAATGGTGTAAAATATCTATCACGATTCATGAGTAACTTGCTTATTATATGGCACTGTGTACATTCTATATGTACAGTATTTCGTAGTTTAGATCATTCTCATGTTACAATTTAACTAACTACCTATCTAACTATCTAACTCCATGGAGATGAATCCTTCTTGAGAAGCTGCCAGTCGCTCAGATATATATTGTGATGCCTATACCCATTGCTAGCTAACGACTCGGTAAACACATTCCCGCAACATACGTGCATGGCACAATAGAAGGACATCCATTGTTAAGCAACGGCGTGGTAAACACGCTTCGTCAAATATATAGGCTGTGTTTTCTGTGTTGTCCGTGCCGAAGGGTTATTAAGAACACAGCCAGAAGATGAGACGAAGTAGAGAAAGTAGTCGAGAGTAGCAGAGTAGTCCAGTGAAGTGAAGAGAAGAGTTTCGGGACGCCAGCCTGCCGGGATATTATGAATTGAAATGCGTCGAGTCTTCGGAATTGGCAGTTGCAGAAGAGTGGCAAGAAATGAACTAGGCTGTGAGAAGAAGACTTCATGTGTGTTTTGAAGTGACAGTGAGACTGTGATAAATCCGTTGCCAGGTTACGACTAATGAAGAATGAGAATCCTAGTGAATGTGTAATAGTGATTTGTAAAGTGTGTAGATCGGCGATACCTGTAGTCCCGAGTTGTGTGAATGTTTAAGGCGTCATAAAGCCGATAATCCAATACAAAACCCGTCTTATAAGTCATTCACAACCCCTACGCGTGAAAATATTTTCAATTAGACGCTTATATAATTGCAACTTATACAGCTGAATTGGCGCCGTTAAGTTCATGAAGATACAAAGCTATTATTTAGAGTGAAAGATGTATCAACACTTTCATACTTTCCATTTTGTCGACTGCGGCAGACAGTAATTATATCTCGAGAGGCTCAAATCTGGGTTGGGATACCGGTTGTTCTGTCTGACGATGTCTGTGGTTTAGTTCAACTTCTCCAGACGAATGACGAGACAGACTATGGCCACTTCTTCGTTCCTTTAGCTTCAACCGTATTCGTTCATGCCTTCTTAATATTTGACGCAAAATAATCACTACAGTTGATGGATCTTTTATAAACAGGCTAAGATCGACCCATTCTTCCGTCTAGAACTCCTCTGGAAGTTTCACAGAAATGAAAGTTCTTCAGTATTTACCAACTGCTTGAAACTTGAGCCAACTAATTCCATCCATCTTGTGACGTCAATTGGTTGAAATATTGCGTAGGCCTGCAAGAGCCCTCGGTCATTGTGCCTTATGTGACAGAGAGATAACCGCATTCTCGGAGCGTCTGCTGTGTTTATCAGTGGAACTGATGGACACGCAAGGAGCCGTCCTTAAACTTGTTTCTCACAGTTGCTAAACTCGACTTCCTGTTAGCCGCTACATCATTAGTCTCCTCCACATAAACTTCTCCATTGTTAATTGCACACGGGTATGTCTGAAGGGTGTAAGTAACGGCTCTGAGCTCTCGCAAACTGATACAGTGTAGGTACACAGACTTCAAGACCAAGTCACACTAAATATGTCGGATAATTCTCCCCCCCCCGAAATGCTCATCGCTTCCGAAACTAGTAGTGACATTTGCCTCACTATCATTTAATTTCAGTATAGTACTACCATGAACAAGTCTCCATATTTAACTTCCATTTTATTGTACAGCACGAGAAAACAAATGTAATTAAACTAAAAGCTTATAAATCAAATTATTATAAAACATTTTTATAACTTGTATATGAGCTACCTTTCTTATAAGATAACAAGCGAAAAGTACACAAAGTTCACGTTGCGCGAACAGAAAATAAAATATTACTGACAATTCACAGTATTGTATTTTAGCAAGAAGTTACTATTTAATTAATTACCTCTCGACCAAATAGAATGTAAGTTCAGCACAGATAGTACAAAAGTTAGCCATTAGACATAGACCAGAACCAATTACATCCATCTCCTTGCATCACAATTCATTTCAGTAGAATATATCTTAAAATTATCCTATTTTCGTGGCCGCACCACAGCTCAAGCGGTTAGTCGTTGGCTTTCCACCGCGGCGGACCGGATTCGATCCCAGGTCTAGTCAAGTGGGATTTGTGGTGGACAAAGTGGCGCTGGGGCAGGTTTTCTCCGAGTACTTCGGTATCCCCTGCCAATCTTCATTCCACCGAAGGAATTCTTTGCATTTCATGCGAACCCTTGAACAAATATTGCGCAAAATTTGTGATAGCATAGCTTAACTGTGATAATATCGCAGAGAAAGATGTGAGAAATTTGTATAAATTCACATGGAAGTTGTGAAATTGTGAAGCCCTGTCATTCACAAATTATCTGATCAAGATGTTGACATTTGTTTGCCGGCCATCTTTGAATAATACACACCATTGACTTCACATTGACCAACTCCTTCACTCATATTTTGGGCGTAAGGCGATCAAAATTCACGATGAATATCCTCAGCATTCTTGTTTTAGCCTGAAGAAAGCGGATAAGAGCGTGAATTTCGCAGTTAGTGCGATTATCAACCGTAGAACACACCATAACTCACTCTGTAGAAATAAGAACAAACACTATGTAATCAGTTATGTGACGATTTTCAGTGAATGCATCCTGATGTGTGTTAAATATTATTTCTTAATGAAAACCTTCAAAACACAACAATCAATAATACGTGTAAGTAGCTCTAGGCGATAATTTTGCTACATATTTCGGCCTTCAAAGGCCATCATCAGGCAAATACCTTAAACTTTTCATTATTGAATTGCATGTCAAATATAGGATACAGTACTAGACTACCAAATATATACAATGGTATAAAATTATATGAGTGCATATAAAATATAAATTACAATAAATTTTAAGTCTTAAATAACCAGTTACATAATCAAAAGTATAGTTAAACGTTGTATATGTGATGGTATTTCGAAGTTGGCAGTTGTAATCGTAATATATGTAATGCTTATAAGAACATATTATATACATAATGGCTGATGTGGTGTTCGGAGGCCCGTTGTTATGTTGTATGCTATTATTTAATATCTGATACTGTTTGACGGATGGCTCAGCTGTGTAAATGTCGGCATTGATGAAGAGAGGAGAATGTGTAATTTAGGTAGAAGAGCTAAACTTTGAAAAAAAGTAGGGTCATGATAGCTGAGAAGAGAGGACAGTACTCAAGGTGTTGTCTCCTTTACGTAGAGAGTGTAGACTTCAATTTTCTGAAGCATGATGATGATGATGATGATGGCATCGACGACGATGATGTTGATAGTTCTATCCTGCGACTTCCTGTCCACGTGTTCAGAGCGCCAACATATGACCTAAATTGCATTTTATTGTTGCCTTATAAACTTGCAGTATGTAGACAAGATACGAGTATTAACATCACACGATTTGTAAAGCTGGAAGTCTCTAATACAGAACTACGTTTCGACGTTTCGCGTGATTTCAGTACTAAGTTTAGAAAGTTTTTAGCTCTTAATATACGTGTACTTCCTGTTCGTTATAGCAGGTTCCGTGGAACGCTTGCAAATGATCTCGCCCTTTTAATACTATTCTCTAGTGTAAAGTAACAGTCTAAAAGTGAATGGAAGAAGAAATAAATTATAAGTGTCGAAGCAAGAGCTCCCTAAATTAAGTTTTGGTTCAGAACTTTAAATATTAGATTGTAAAGGGTTCTGACGGCAGTTTATGACCCATAGAATTATTGGGTTTGTGGACTTTTCCATCATCCTGTATTTTAGAGAATAGAAAACACGACATTTCGGAAACTTGATCTGATTCCGTCTTCATGTGAAGTGAGGAGAAGACGCCTCCTCGGTTGGGCCCCTTAGAAAGAGCTAATCCCAACCACTGGCAACCCTGTTCATTCACGCAGTTATTTAATCACTTGAGACGAGATTAATTCGGCGGGAGATGAAATTAAAAGAAAGTAAAGGTATCCCTGTAACAGGCCGTGGAGGCCCTTAGGGCTGTAAGATGTTGAGGCTCCAACATTTTCTAGAAAATCGGCTCATAGATAGCGGCAAAGATGTCAGCCTTACGCTCCGGCCGCCCTTTACCCCCAAGAATATTCCTGGTACTCATTTCCGCTAGAGGCTGAATCGACCCTAGGGTCATAGTGCAGCTGGAAGAATTAGGTCAATTGAAAAAATCCATTAACCTCATCGGAGTCTGAACCCGCGACATTCCTGCTAGTAGCATAGTGCCTCAACCAACTACGCTACCGTGTGGCCCAAATTTGGCGGGAGATAACGAGATAGTATACAATAAAAATTGTGATAAATCACGCAAATGTGTAGAACTGCAATAGAAAAGGATAGAAATTTGCGCTACAAACACAACCTAAGAAAACCAAGTGCATGAACACCAGTGCAAAGAAATGGAAAATAATTTGTGAAGACGTGTAGCATCTACTTTCAATATTGATTGTCACATGGAAGTGTCGAGCTTCTCACACGTTCTAGTGTCATTTTATTTAGTTTCTGACCATACAACAATAATTTAGCACATGGAAGAAAAAATATAGGAAGTGAGATTGAACAATGTGCAATTTTTTCCCATCTTTTTCCTACTCCCTTCATACCCCTTGACTTCAGGATTCTATCAAATGTGAATGACTTCTGCAGTCAACCCTCTTCTCTGTAACCTCTTCAGCTCCTCAGAGATTTCTTCCCCAACTTCACGGCTCATTCTCTGCAACATAACGCCCCTTTCCCCTTCCCGTTCTTGAATTCTACAGAATTTATTTCTTCCCCTTTCATCATTCAAGCTGTGTAGCTGACTGACCATGACTCCATACAAAATAGAAAATAAAATAAATTTTAAAGATGTACTTCACCTCTGGTAACTGTATGTATCTTCTGCCAGAGCACTGAAGAGACAAGACTATACGGCACCATTATCCGGCGTCATTCAGAGCCTTGTTTTGCTACTACACAACGATATAAAACAAAAGCAGCATGGCATAGCTTTATATTCTTTCAGACAGATTTATTCCTACACAAAAATTACTATTGCGAGTATGAGCTGTAAGACGTAAAAACTTTTCTCTCTTCGTAATCTCAACGAGCAAGATGGTTCAAGTGGCAGTGCTTCTGGTTTGTAATAGGGAAGTACCTGGTTCGAATCTCGAGTGGGATACCTATCGTGATTAAGGTTTTCTGGTGATAATCCTCGGTCCCTCCATGCAAGTACCGGGTGTTACCTTAGTTACGCCTCCATTGCTTCCTTTCAAATTCACCTCAATTCTTTATTCTTTAATCATCTTAAAATTTAACTGATTAGGTCTATAGACTGAGATATTAAAAGCGTTGTGAAATAAACTACAAACAAGTAAATAAATAAAAGATTAAATATTGGGAACTTTAATACCTCATGGAACATATCGATGAAAGTAATGAAACTTCGGGTACGTATTCAATTATTTGTTTAATTAATAACTCTGCAAGCCAAGCGGCCTCCGTAGTTTAGGGGTAACGTTCCCACCTCATGACTCAAGGGACGCGGGTTCAAACCCGGCGGAGGTCGTGGAATGTTTAAGAGCGGAAAAATTCAGGGAACAAGTCCTCCGGGAGGGACTTTAAGCCGTGGGTCCCGTGTCGTAGATTTACGGCACGTAAAATATCCTCATGTCTCTAGGAGACCTCTGAGCAAAATTAGGTAAAAAAGTTTCCCGCCCAAGTAGTTTCCAATGCCTCCGGTAGATGGGGAAGCATCGGGTACCACAGCCAGCCTCGCTGGCTGAACGGGGCCGATAGCACGCACCGATACCGGTAGGGTATGGAGACTGGTAGAATATCAAAGGGGGACGTACAATNTACAAGTGAAACGGACGATCAATGAGTTATAAATTGGAAAGGAAGCCGAAGGATTCTGTAGAGGTGTCATTTGAGGAACTACCCAGGCCTGGTTGGCTTCAAGAAAAGAATGAAAGACCTTGGCCGAGATTTTAACACAGGATCTTCCGACTTCGAAAAGGAGTGCTGCCACCCACAGGGCAGATAATCTTGGTTTGCCTCCTAAGAACAAGTTAGGTTTCTGTCCATTACATTCGTAACAATTGAAAATACACTGAGGTATTTTAATGGAAATGCTACATGTTGAACAAATACGTACTATTACCGAACTGAGGCAACGAATTAAGCTAATGCAACCAGCAAACATATAACTTTTGTGGATGGAGGACCCGTTGCATGAACAGATTTTTTAGAGAATTATGAAATCCTAAGTGCTAAGGCGTAAATCTTGCGTCTGATGTGAAGGAACTACCATTGGGCCTACCTGCTTAAAAGAGACAGGATATTGGTTGTATAAGAATTAGATCCAACGCGAAACCACTGCTGCTACAGAAGAAGAAATTTCTGTATAGGATTTGAGAATTTCGCAGCGGTGGTATGAAATGTGCTGTCTTATTGGATATAACGTCGTGCAGTCTACTTTTCCAACTTTTTCCACATTGGTTTCTTGCTTTGTTTATTCTTCGTCCTGAAGATGGAAGCCACACGTTCCTCCGAAGCGTCAGTTTACTTTCAACGGACTACAAATCGTTATATCCGAGAACACAGGACACTTCAAGAAAGCCCTAGCCATGCCAATATACCTAATGCAAATGAAACGGAGTAAATTCCTCTCCAAAATGTAATGTTAGGTTAAATTACTGTAATATATATAGGTCAGGATTGAACTCAGCTAACAGATTCGAAGATAAGAACAAAATATATATGTCAAGAATTACAACCTGAAGATCGGAACTTATACAACTCCCAAGAAGTCATTTACAGGCTTCACAAATATATCTGAGTCAGTTGAAAATGTTCAAAATCATTGCTGCACAACAGCATATGAGGTACGCATAATTATTTTGGGACTCTAACCTGCATTAGGCCGATCTTACAAGCAACTGGTGTGCCATTTGTTACAACCAACAGAGTGCAGACGCAAATTTGTCTAATATATTTTCACACAAAACCATAACACGCTCTATTCTGACATCCCAGAAATTCGTGATTAATTTTTAAAAAATTGTGCTTATCTGAACTAACTCAAACTCTATAAGCAGAACACTGAAAATTAAACACCGCTTATACGAAAGTCTTCAGACGAACCAGATGCTGAATCATTTCTATCCATATCATATCCTCAAATCTCTCTTCTTCTGATACTTCTTATGTTACCGAAATATGAAAACCGGTCCTCCTAAGATATATCTTAACATTATCCTCAACTTTATATTGGACGTTCTTCGAAAGTTTACTTGCTTAAATTTTTTATGCATTTGTATTTTATCCTATCCTAACAATGAGTCAAAGCCATCGTAACCACTTTCATTTCATAATCCCATCAAAATTAATCGTGTAAATCTTGTATTTTCTCTGTACGTAATGTCCTGTATCATCCATTTACTCCTCAGGTCAAACTATTTCCTAATCACATGTCTAATCTATCGGAATATAGCCACGCCATAGCTCAAGCGGTTAGTCGATGGCTTCCCACCGCGTTGGCCCGGGTTCGATCCCGGGTCTGGTCAAGTGGGACTTGTAGTGGACAA